GGATATGAACGTGTCTGCATCCAGATTTGTGCACATGCTCCTGCCCACATGTCAGATTTTGACATATGTCCATGCAGCTGCTGTATCTGTAGTCACTTCTATACAGCCTGCCTGGTACAGCTCCAAGGTTGATGCACACACAGCAAAAAGTGGCTCAGCACAGAGGACGGGTCTCAGCTCCCACCTGAATGAGCCCTATGAATCTGGTTTTGTTTTTTATATTACATGATTTTTGAATGGCTTTCTATACAGCATTAGCAGTGCATCCTTTAAAGGCATCCTTCACCTTTACAAAAAAAAACTGCCTGTGCAGATAAGAGGCATCTGTAGCTTGAAACAAATGGTGCAGCTTTGATTAAAGTTGAATATCATCCTTTGTATAGGTGTACGCCATTTTCCAGTCAGGCTTCAGGAGGTAGGTAAATGGCTTACACCTATAGCAAGAACATTATTCACCTGCAGTCAGAGCTGCACAGTTTCTTGTTATCTACAGACATCCATTATCTGCATAGGTCGTTTTTTGGTAAAGGTGAACTCACCCTTAAGGATAATGCATGAAATTTTATTATAATCATCTTACATTTTTCATGAGCTATGCTCTATGTACCTTCATACTTTTATATATCACCCTAAACTGAAGAAGTGGCAGCTGTGAGCCACAAAAGGCATCTTTTCAGTGATATAAAGCCCTTTGTTATTCATCCAACATCATGACTCTGGGTCATCCATAGACACACCACAATCCCACTACACACTCCAACAGAGGGAATGCAAATATCCCCTATAACTGCGATGGACATTGTCATACATTCATTTTTGAGAAATCTGGGGTCTATCAGACTCTAGATCTCTCCTCTGCCCTTACATTATCTAATCTCACCAAGATCGGTGTGATCAGATGCTTTCCCAATTTACAAATGGTGCTGTTTATATCCTGTGAAACTGAAGTGATGAAATGCTCGTAGCTTCCGATTTGTGTGGCAGCACCAGGTAGGGCACGTGTGCCCACTTCCCGCAACTACAAAATCACGTATGTATACGTGATTTTGAGCACCCGTGCCACTCTGTAGCAGTATTTCTGCTATAGGGCGGACAGGAAGCGGTTAATGGCATCCCAGTCTTAGTCTGTAGGGTTCAATATTGAGTTGGCCCATCCTTTGCAGCTATAACAGCTTCAACTCTTCTGGGAAGGCTGTCCACAAGGTTTAGGAATGTGTCTATGGGAATGTTTGACCATTCTTCCAGAAGTGCATTTGTGAGGTCAGGCACTGATGTTGGATGAGAATGCCTGACTCGCAGTCTCCACATTAATTCATCCCAAAGGTGACTATGCAGACCAGTCAAGTTCCTCCAACCCAAACTTGCTCGTCCATGCCTTTATGGACCTTGCTACTGGTGTGCAGGCATGTTGGAAAAGCAAAGGGCCATCCCCAAAAAGTTGGGAGCATGAAATTGTCCAAAATGTTCTGGTATGCTGACGCCTTGAGTTCCCTTCATTGGAAGCTCAACCAGCCAAGCTCAACCTCTGAAAAACAACCCTTTGCAGCTATAACAGTTTCAACTCTTCTGGGTGTAGGAGTGTATCTCTGGGAATGTTTGACCATTCTTCCAGAAGCGTATTTGTGAGGTCAGGCACTGATGTTGGACGAGAAGGCCTGGCTAGCAGTCTCCACTCTCATTCATCTCAAAGGTGTTCTATTGGGTTGAGGTCAGGACTCTGTGCAGGCCAGGCAAGTTCCTCCACCCCAAACTCACTCATCCATGTCTTTATGGACCTTGCTTTGTGCACTGGTGCACAGTCATGTTGGAACAGGAAGGGGCCATCCCCAAGCTGTTCCCACAAAGTTGGGAGCATGAAATTGTCCAAAATGTCTTGGTATGCTGATGCCTTAAAGTGATTGTAAAGGCTCACGGTTTTTTTTACCGTCATGCATTCTATGCCAGTCAGCAAATGAGGGGGGGGTGGCGGGGCCAAGCCAAAGCTCTGTGTCTGAATGGACACATGGAGCAGCAGGTGCCCCCATAGCAAGCTGCTTGCTATGAGGGCAACCGACAGGAGGAGCCAGAAGAGCCTGTGGGGGACCCGAGAAGATTAGGATCTAGGCTGCTCTGTGCAAAACCACTGCAGAGGGCAGGTAAGTATAACATTTTTGTTATTTTACACTGGGCCCTATGATCTTTGACTTCTCCCATACTGTTCAGCTATCTCTACCTCTTTAAGGTTGCCTGCCCCGGCATAAAGGAATGAGGCACAGTAACACCTCTCGGATATCTGTCCTTATTCTCTATGCATTATACAAATTAGCACTTCTTTTCAGTATGTTGGATGTAAATCTCAGTATCTTGTCCTATTCTCATGTTCTCCATTTTGAGTTTAAATCCCTAAATCTTTTCTTATTCTGTATGTAGGAACAATGCACAGTAGTACTTCTCTTGTTCTATACAATGGGTGTAAACCTCAGTATCTGCGTAGTCTGATAGTAGGTATTGACACTGCATACCAGGAAATACTGACAAGAGCCAGGCGCTGTGGAATGTATAGTCATAAGATGTACCTTTAATAAAGGATGGTGCATAACAAGGTAAAATACACAAGCCTGTGGCTTTAAGACACCAGGTATCCTGATGGATGGCCCATCTTCTCAGAGGGGAGCTGTAGAGGAGAGGAATGCCTGTCAAGCAGGGACCACATGGTCACGATGTTCCGGCGTCCCGGGTGACGTCACTGCGATGTCAGGGAGACAGAGGGCAGGAACCCATGCACAAGCCACACGGTGGTGGAGCACAGAGGATCTGCATGAAGCAACTTATTGGGCACTAGAAGATTCTGCACTGTTTTTGATCCACAATTTGGTATGGGACTTTTGCTTTTGGATTTGTTGATCCATATCACTTTATGAATATGTTTATAGTACAGTATATTAGTTGGAATATTGTCTGTATAACATACATGTGAAGCGCCATACCTTACTATAACATTTTGGTCACAAGTGATTTTGCATTTAAGGGGCAGCTAACATTGTTTCCTTCTATGTTGGTACACCACACGACTGACAACAAATTCACATTTTTTTTAGCGGATATATATTTTTGCAAAGATAGTTTATCATCCTTGCATGGTAAGAAGAATTTTTATCAAAATGAAAAAACTGCTGCAAATGTGACTGCAGAGCTCAATCTCAGTCCTGTGAAGACTGAGATTGAGCTCTACAGTCACCTTTGCAGAAGTTGTTTTCTTATTCTGGGTCACAATCCTGCGCAATGTCTTTTTGTCTCTTTCGGGTCAGTTGATCATGTCAGCCACGCTTATCAGACGACATTTTCCCGGAAACTGTATATGTGGTCATAATCTTTGATACTGTACCTTACGACATGGCAAATACATTTTCAACTTCAGTCACAGGCACAAATTTGCTCTCTTTGAAGCTCAGTAAACTCTGACATGACTGTGTTACTAGCAGCAAACGCAGTGAATAATGAAAGTGAGGCTTCCCACCTGTGAGCTAGGTGTCTCATCACACAGCGGAAGCAAAAGAAGGTTATATCACTTCTGCTTTCAACACAAAACATCATCACTTTCACACCTGCAAATAATGTAGTGTTAGGTGCATGGTAACCATGGGATAATCCACAATTCAGTAGTAACTTGACGACACCTATCTTCCGCTTTAAGATTCTGAGCACAGTCCTTGCAGCAGCAAATGATGGGCTGAGCTACACAGGGACACCATACACAATGTCCTCTTTAATGCACAAGCCGACTCTGATTCAATACGGATAGCAGAAGCACGCAGTCACTGGGATCTCACACACCAGTTTGTACTCACTAATGTCCTTGGATAGCTGGATGCTTTCTTCCAATATATGTCATACATTTCTCCCATGAATTCTGCAGACTAGATCCCCGAAATAAATCCCTCAAGCAACTCCAGCCAAGTTCAGTAGAATAAGCCCCCCAGCTAGCACAGCTGGGACCTCGATAAGCAGTATAAAAGCACAACTGGACTGCCCAGAAGGGCAGCAGGATCTCCTCCTCCTGGACAAGAACTAGGTCCGCTCCAGACTTCAGAGTATTTATGCTTGCTCCCAGCCACCATCTGGGCACCCTCCCCAGGGATTGGCTGGGACCACAAACATTTATGTTGCAGATTTGTCTCTCCGATCCCACTACTTTCAAGAACCATCCAAAAAGCAAGGAGAAGTAGCCAAACCTAGAGCCTGTGAAACTTAAAGTGGACCAGAGTAATAATAAGCAGCTTCACTGATTACAGAGGGACCAAAGAACTAAGTTTACCTAACCTAGCACCTAACTAGGAGGGTGCTAAATCTACATTTCTGATCATTACCTAGAAATCCAAGGCTTTGGACATGCAGGACAGTAGGAGAACGTCTGTGACCACTCTCTGCAACAAGCACTGCGAGTTACAAAAGTGCAGTCACGGACACACCCCTTCTCTCATCCACAGTTTTCCTGAATCCCTCCCCCAGACTGGAGCCTTCTTGATTGCTCGATGGGCAGATGGGAAGGAAGCAGCCAATTTGGAAAGGTAAGGAATTATGAAGAGAGATGACATTTCCAGAGAAATGATAGTCCAGTTGCATTTTCCTAGAGGGCTGTGGTTCAGCAATAACCTTTTATACTTTGGCTCCAAACATGAAACCCATTTTTATCCCCCTGCTTCATATCCACCTTTCAAAATGATTTCAGTGGGCTACAAACCAGACTTTGTGCACACTGATGTTTCCTAAACAATCTTTATTATCTGTCGTAAAATATGTATTTGCAATTTACATACATTCCCATAGAATTAAATAAAGCGTAGGGGCAGGGAAGACTAAAACAGAACTGCTCAGCAAGTTTACATAATGAAGCAGATCTAGTTATCTGTGACGTCAGTAGAGGACATCCCTGTAGATGGTGCACATTGGTCAGGTCCTCCTGCTGCTTTGTCTGTTGTTCAGGAAGGTCACATGACTAGCAGCCCATCCTTCAGTTCTCTTTAGGGCTTTTTATGGTAGATGGTGGTCTGGTTGTCATTGCTGGGCTCTTTCATGACACACATGGGTTTGTTGGACAAAGCTGCTTCTCTCATCTTGTAATATACAAATTCATTCTGCTGAAACATCCTGAGCTCCATTTCTGTCTGCCCCCTCATCACCTGCCAGGAAACAATACATAGATTAATATATATCATATAATGGTTGCTGGTGCCTAATGATTTACAATATACAGGGCACTGGAACAGTTTTACACTCAGAAAAGCAGATCATTTAACAAATTACTGTTAAAAAATGTTTGCTTTGATTCCATCTCTTTAAATGCATTCATAATTTCAAAGTTATTTATAGGATGTAAAAATCTTCACCTCTACGTATACCGTATACCAGCCTCCCCGGACCCCACATTCACTATAGCCGGCGTCCCCGGACCCCGCATTCACTATAGCCGGCGTCCCCGGACCCCGCATTCACTATAGCCGGCATCCCCGGACCCCGCATTCACTATAGCCGGCGTCCCCGGACCCCGCATTCACTATAGCCAGCGTCCCCGGACATTGCATTCACTATAGCCGGCGTCCCCGGACATTGCATTCACTATAGCCGGCGTCCCCGGACATTGCATTCACTATAGCCGGTCTCCCCAGACCCTGCATTCACTATACCCAGTCTCCCCGGCCCCGCATTCACTATACCCAGTCTCCCCGGCCCCGCATTCACTATACCCAGTCTCCCCGGCCCCGCATTCACTATACCCAGTCTCCCCGGCCCCGCATTCACTATACCCGGTCTCCCCGGACCCCGCATTCACTATAGCTGGTGTCCCCGGACCCTGCATTCACTATACCTGGTCTCCCCGGACCCCGCATTCACTATACCTGGTCTCCCCGGACCCTGCATTCCCTATACCTGGTCTCCCCAGACCCCGCATTCACTATACCTGGTCTCCCCGGACCCCGCATTCACTATACCTGGTCTCCCCGGGCTCTGCATTCACTATATCTGGTCTCCCCGGGCTCTGCATTCACTATATCTGGTCTCCCCGGACCCCGCATTCATTATATCTGTTCTCCCCAGACCCTGCATTTACTATATCTGGCCTCCCACAGTACACACAACATGGAAATGCAATTATTTTAGCAAATATAAACTGCTAAATACCGCTTCTCATCAGCAGTTAGAGCAGTCTTGTGACTTCAGCAGAGCATTGGTTAAAGCTTGTAGGAGGAGTTTTCTTTCTGCTCTAGGAGGATACAGAACCCCCGACCCTCTGTCTGGACAGTGCCGATTGGCCCTATGCTGATCACATGCACCCTCCCAAGGAAAGAAAAAAAAATCTCTAGCAATACACACCAAACTGAGCATGTGACCACGGGTTCAGTCTGTATCAGGTGGTCATTTCAACAAAAGGAGGGGTGGAGAAGACAGGATCAAACAGCCTTTTTAAACAATGCAGAGGATTAACCCCTTAGGTTCCACAGTGAGTATAACAAGCATACTTTACTGCATATACAGACTGATTTTACTGTTGTGGGTTTAGTAACACTTTAATAATTAATAAAAATACCCATAATTCTGAGAGAACGGGAAGAGATGCTTCTTGGGAATTCAGACTCCATCTTAGAGACTGGGAGAGAAGGTGCCAGCTATCAGAGTACATGTTGAACTGGAACTTGCATCATTTTGCATCCCCTAATGGGAGCATCGCTGGTAAGAATCACTTCTCGCTATCATGAGCCTAACTATTCATTGTATTTTCTGTATGTTATTACATTGATTGTATGGATTTCTCATTTATTTTTTCTTACTAGTTTTACCTCCACATTTACCCACCAAATGTACTTTTAACCAAAAACAGCACAAAAATAGTAATTATCTCAGTATCTGTATGTAGGTAGCTGATGGGGAGATGCAGAATTATCTACAGCAGTGGTTCTTAACCAATTGGCTGTGCCTGCTGCCAGGCCACAGTCTCCCTCCTACCAGGCCTTAAACTGGTTGTAAACCTAGAGAACACAAATCAATCTAATCCTGCAATTGAATAGATTTTACCCTTACTAAGCATTTGAGCTTCCCCCTCTCTAGAAATCCCCTCCTGCTCTTCTGAACAGAATAAATCCGAAACCATCAGAAAAATGGTGTCACCACTCCCATTCTCTGTGCTGAAGACGAGACCAACATGAGCCTCCATGTAATACACTGCAAAGAGCTGGGGGAGAGGGTGTCCTCTCCCTGCCTTCACAAGATGGAGAACTCAGGACCAGTGATTTATGACATAGATCGGCATCACTTCAGTAATGCTGTAGTTATCTAGGTACAGTGAAGAAAATATGCATTTGATCCCCTGCTGATTTTGAATGTTTGCCCACCCACAAAGAAATGATCAGTCTAAAAATCGAATGGTAGGTGTATTGTAAACACTGAGAGACAGAATAGCTGCATTTTTTCTGCACAGAACCATACTGGACCATAGCAAACTGCATCAAAACGGCACCGGAACTGCGTGTGGTGTAAACTGTAAGCAAAAACGTATCCGGAATGCATCCGCTGTGTGTTATTGTAGTGTGAACTGGCCCTTAGGGCTGGTTCACACTATAGAAACGCAGTCCAGATGCGTTCCGGATGTGTTTTTGCATGCACGTTTTTGGTGTGTTCCAGTGCGTTTTTTATGCATTTTTGATGCGTTCCAGTGCGTTTATGCATTCCAGTTAATTTTTTCACCTCTTTTTCTTCAATTTAAGTAGGGAAATGTGCATTCCAGTGCGTTTTTGGTGTGTTCCGGTGCGTTCCAGTACAGCTCTGTGCAGAAGAAATGCAGGATGTTCTACTTTTTTTTCTGCAACCGGAACACACTGGAACTGAAAGCACTGATGTGAACTTTGACATGAACAACCATATAACCTACTTTCTGTGCTTTTTGGATACAACTGAAATACATGTAGTGTGAACTGGCCCTTCAAATGTAAGTTCACCTTCAGCTTGATGGTTGAATTGTGCGCTCCCTACTGGCCACTCAAACTGAGTGCATGCGCAGAGTTCATTAGTGGCCACTCCAGGCCATCCAAACTGAGTTTAGATAGAGAAGGAGAGCGCACACCGCGTACTTGCACAGTTTGATGGGCTCGGAGCGGCTCAATTCAAATGCCTGGTCCATCCTGCAAAAGACTGGGAACAAGGAACCAGCAGTATTTGTGAAGAGCCCCCCCAATGGTAAATGGTGAAGAATGTTCACCATTGAAAACAGGAGGAGCACTGGTATGTACTAATCACAGGATATGGAATTGAAAAGGGAGATTCTGGCAAAATATTGCTGAAGGTGAACTTATACTTTAAATGTTTAGAAAGTGGGCTTTCATGACATAATTAGAGATGACTTGTGTACAGACCTCCAGATCTTTGGTGATGGGGTGTGTGGGACCATGAGTAATCAGCAGAATGGCGTAGGCCTTGCAGATCATTCCGTGCCCAACTTCAATGAGCCCAGCGTGCCAGTGTGTGACTCCCGCCCTCATCACTGACATCCCAAGCTGGGCATTGTTTGGGTGGTAGACTTTTCTGTTGAAAAAAAAAAAATGGATCAGTGTCATCGGGGAAAAAGTAAATTTTATTTTAGCTTGATATGTTATATGGAATGTACAGACTTGTCACATTTTTCCTACGTAAATGTTAGCCTATAATAAACCTATTGGTACCCATACAGTGCTTACAGACTCCAGAATCACAATGGAGGCGCCAAATGGTATCTGTGCTGACTATATGCATTCTTCTTCAGCCCGGAAACTCCAAATCCTGGGCTGCTATAACCAGCAAATTCTGACACGACTTGGAACAGCTGAGTACAGGCCCCACTCCCGACTGTATCTCCATGTATCAGGACATGACCCTACCAGAGTTCAGAACAAGTGGACTGGGACAAGAAGGCATCTACAGCTTTGTGCAGGAAACATTATCACATACTAGTACTAGGCCAGTAATTGATAACCACAAGCCTGGTGCCAGTATGGGATTTACACCTCCACCGGTTGCAGCGTTCTAAAGAAGCCATCCTGAAGCAGTAGACATAAGTTGGTAATAGGTCATATGGAAAGACATAGCAGCTTATTTCAGGGACAATGATCATCAGTTAGAACATAGTAGCTGGACTGTTGTGACTGAATGGCACACTCTATTACTTTATAGCCCCTCCAGTTTTTATAGGTTATTTAACTGTCTCCCTCCCGCCATGTAAGGAGATGATGGTAGGGTGGCATATGACGTCCTCCCACTCTAGCTGCGCACGTGCGCCCCCGGGGGTGCACGACGCACCAATAGGTGGTGTGTTGTGTCCCTGGGACATAGCGGATCACCAATCACAGTAAAGAGCCGATGATGTTGGCTCTATCATGTGATCAGCTGTGTCCAATAACAGCTGATAGCACATAAATAGGAAATGTCAGTTATCAGCAGTTGCCTCCTCATGCTGGCTGTCAGCTGTGCGTGAAGAGAGCCGGTACGTGGCATTCCTCAGAGGGGACATCTATACTGATGATCAGTGTAGCCCCATCAGTGCCACCTGTCAGTGCTCATAATTGCCACCTGTCAGTCCCCATCAATTCTACATACCGGTGCCCATCAGTGCACATCATAGCTCCCTTTCAGTGCCAGTCAGTCCTGCCTATCAGTGCCAGTATGTGCCGCCTAACAGTTCCAATCAGTGCCATATATAAGTATTGCCTTTAATTGCCCATCAGTGATGCTTGTCAATGCCCATCAATGCCACCTACCAGTGCCCATCAGTACAGCCTATCAGTGCACATCACTGCAACATCATTAGCACACATCAGTGAAAGAAAAATTACTTATTTACAAAATTTTATAACAGAAACTAAGAAAAAAAACTTTGATTTCAAAATTTCATTATTTTTTTGATTTAGCAAAAAAATAAAAAAAAACCCAGTGTTGGTTAAACACCATCAAAAGAAGACTGTCTTAAACAATTATAAAAATTTAGTTTGGGTACAATGTTGCATGACCGCGCAATTGTCATTCAAAGTACGACAGTGCTGAAAGCTGAAAATTGGCCTGGTCGGGAAGGGAGTATAAGTGCCCTGTAGGCTAGTGGTTAAAAAAAGTTAAAATGTTAAACTGCAGACATGAAATATGAACAAAGCATAGTGTGTACTGGTCTCAGTCCTGGTTCACACAGATGTGGAATTTGCAGCGTTTCTGTGCTAATTCCGCACCGCATCAGAATCGCACCCCGTTCATGAGAACCGCTGCGGGTGTGTATGTTAAGTTAACACCCAAAAAGTGTTCCACAAAACGCAATGTGATGTGCAGAATCGGATCGCATAGGTGTGAATACCCATGCAATCCGATTCTAGTGCAGACCAAAAAAAAAAGTCATGCACGTTTTAGGCACGGTGCGATTAGAGCCATACAAAATGTATGGCTCCAATCGCACTGCACACAAATCGCATGTGATTCGCACAGGAATGCAATGCTGTTCCTGTGCGAATCACATGCGATATACCGCACTGCATATATGTGAACCCAGGCTCAAACCAGAGCACTAAGTGTCCTTTCTGTCCTCGGCTATCAGTATCAGTCACTTCTGACAAGTTTTCCTGACGCCAAGAGAAAAACAGTGACAGGGGAGGGCGGAGGGCACAGCCTGTGATTGACAGCCTCAAGTCTGTTCCTTTGTTCTGTGTGAAGGGGGGGGGGGGGGAAGGTTCCTTCCCTCCAATCAGCTCTTAGCGCTCTCCTCACTGATGTAACTCAGCTGCCCACCCCCTGCTTTTCAGAGCTGAGAAGTGCTGTTTAAATTCTGCACTGTGAATGGATGTAGGGAAAGATGGCTATAGATAAACAGGTACAACTTATGTGGAAGGATTTGTTTCATCTGAGGCCAGGTGAACCCTATATGTAGGATTTACAACCACTTTATGAGCAAGGTCCCATTCACACATTCTGAACCTCACCCCTATGCACCTTCCTAGCACAACTGCATTGCAGCATACCGCACCATGCGTTGGAGCATGTTTGTACAGGTTCTGGTCAGTTGTGGTGCATTAGGCAGACTATTTCAGTAAACAGGCCGCCCTAACACAGCACGTGTTAATAGGTGACAGAAGGCTTGTTAACTCATGAGCATTATCTCCTAGATTGTAAGCTCCCAGGATCAGGCCCTCCTAACCCTCTTGTATTGAACTGTATTGTTGCTGTATTGTCTCCCGTTATATTGTAAAGTGCTGAGCAAACTGTTGGCGCTATATAAATCCTGTATAATAATAATAATAATATATAAATCCTGTATTATAATAATAATAATAATATATAAATCCTGTATAATAATAAATAAATCCTGTATTATAAAACAATAATATATAAATCCTGTATAATAAGAATAATAATAATAATAATAAATAAATCCTGTATTATAAAATATTATATAAATCCTGTATAATAATAATAAATATATAAATCCTGAATAATAATAATAATATATAAATCCTGTATAATAATAATAAAATAATAAGTAACTGCACCACAGCAAACCAGGCTGGTGTGAATAGGCTGAAAGATTCTAGTAGATTTAGGCCTCATGTACACTGCTGCTCCTGAACATGAGTTTAGGAGCTTTTGCTGTTTTTTTTTTTTTTTTTTGCCAAAGCCCCTGAACTCAGCTCAATAAAAGCCTTTAGGCTTTTACCAGAGTTTAGGAGAAGCAGAGTTTAGGGGCAGTTAAAACTTCCTCTTCTGAACGCAGAATAATCGCATTCAAAAGAGGAACATTTTGGCCAAAAAAAAAAAGCTAAATAATGCAAAAACGTGTGTAAATGTGGCTAAACGCTAGCAGCGTTTAGCGCTTGGGTGTTCATCCATGTCAATGGAAAATACTCTGGCCAAGCAAATGAATAAACATCCAAGCGCTAAACGCAGTAACGTGTTTACGCACATTTTTTCTGCAATTAGCATTTTTCTAATGAGTTTACTGACTAGGTGAATTCATGTGTACATGAGGCCTTAGCTATCACAGTAGAGAGTCATTATAAATGTGATTGCACTGTTTATCAATAGTTAAAGCAGACCTCCACCCAAAAGGGGAAGTTCCACTTTAATGCTTTGTTCCTCGCTCCCCATTAAGGATTGGCACCTTTGGGGAGCTGGTACCCACTCCCACATCCGCTGTGTTCGTCTAGGCGATCGGAAGCAGAAGTTGTCCTCCCCACCTCCCTCCCCATAGTCGTGACAGGTCCCACAAGACTACGGGGGCCATTCACAAAGCGCAGCGCTTCTTGCTCATGCACAGTGGGCACCCTGGCTGTGAAGCTGCAGGCTGTCAGAGCCGGGTGCCCACACTGAAGATGCTGGGGAGGGAAGATGGCCGGTGAAACCAACCGTGGCGAGGACACCGCTGGACCGAGGGACAGGTATGTGGCTGTATTTTGAAAGTCAGCAGATACTGTTTTTGTAGCTACTGACTTATTTTTTTTTCAGGTGGAACTCCACTTTAAAGTGACCCTGTTATGCGATTAAAAAGTGTTGAGTGGCTTTATTGTTGAATCTTGAGAGGTGCGCAGCAGAACGGTGAATGTTGATATTTTACAAAAATAAAAAAGTAAAGATTTTCATAGGACTTCACCTGTGTTACTTACAAGTATCCATCTATCATCTTCTTAGCATACTCAGCAGCATCCTCAAACATCTGCAGGTAAGAGAACACTTCGGAAGCTATGCTCAGAATTCTCAGAATGTGAATGTTTGTGTCTGCTAGAACTGGTTCCTGCTTCTTCAGGCATTCCCGGCAAAGTTTAATCACCTGGTCAACAAATTGGAGACAAGCATGGTCTCAGTGTAATCAGTTTTTAACAATGAGTCAAGGGCAATCTGCATTTAAAAATGCTTAAAAGGCAACCTGAACCTCCTCCCATCCAGCCTATTGTAAAAAAATGGCCAGGTGGGAGCACTCTTATTCCAGGGGGATGTTTATGTGAGGTCCCTTCATTTGCATACCTCATGCACACCCTGGGGGAGCATGAATTGTATTACAACTTTAATGTCTACCTTAATTTTGTAAAGCGCTGTGCAAACTGTTGGCGCTCTATAAATCCTGTATAATCATAATCATCTGTGACCCGCAGACCCGTACCATGTGATAGCTGTGGCCAATCACATTAGTAAGCCAGGTTTCCTGAATATTTTCAAGGAAATTGATTCTGGGACTTTAACGATGCAAAACAAATATACTGTCAAATACTGTTAAAATGTAAAATTTGTTTATTTTCTCACATTAAAATTATACAATAAAAACGATTGTGGAAATTGAATATGGTCTTGTCCTCATTTTTGCGGTGGCATATTGGTGAATAAGCTGCCCATTGGGGCTTCTTCAGGGAAGCACAACCACTGCAACTATAATACTATAATGAGGAAACAGAACAATAAACAACTTGATAATCAACAATTTTTACTTCAAATTAACCGCTTGATGCTGATATTACGCAAATATGCGGCCTCTCGACGCCTGGGCCTTGTCGCAGAGAGGCTGCATATTTGCGTACCATTTGAAATCACATATGTGCTGAGAGCGCGCATCCTGTGTACTCCCAGCACATATGTTGGTGTCTCACGGAAAGGTCCCGATCTCCCCTTGAGATCAGAACCTTTTTTTTCCGATCATGTGACCGCCGTGACAACGAATCACGCCGGTCACATGACCCTAAAACCCCGCCCTGCCTCCCGGCATCTGAAACCATTAAAGGGCCAGGAGGCACCAGCGTGAAGAGGTTAATATACAGTGTTTTTACATATATGCTATGTAGGTCAGATGATACTTACCCCTTAAGATTCAATAAACATCTTACTAAAAATAGTACAATGAACTAGCTTGTAAAAATAAGAAAGCAAGTGCAGCCACCACACTAAGGACTTGCAGCAGCAACATTTTTGTTCTTGGATTTAGTTATTCTTTAACAAGTGATTTTTCTGTGGTTCAAAAAAAAAAAAAAAAAAAAAAAAATGACCGTATACCTACCTCAGGTATGCCCCTTCAGAACGTGCTTTATCGATCTTTTCCATCGCATCCTTTGAGAATTGTATAACCTCCTTAATGACACTTTCTGAAGGCTGAAAAAAAAAAGAAAAAAATGTTTATTAGCTGTATATGTCAGGTAAGTCAACAGGCAATGTCCATCGGCCTATAGCATCAGGATTCCACATTTACCAACCTGACAGTAATCAGAGAGATTATGGTCCTTGGGACTTCAGCTTTGCTCTTTCTTGGACAAAGCTGTTCATTTATGTTCAGTTCATTCCAAGCATTGTTTCAGTTGTGTATGAGAGAACTGCATAATAATACCAACATTGTATGTTGTAACAAGAAAATGCCATAGTACATCCGATTATCTCCTGGAGACGAACGATTTTTTGTCTTTGATATCTCACTGGAGTTCATCTTTAAACCAGCCATCCTCACTGATTTATTTACTGTCTGACATGAGGGTTGCAAGAGGTCTACGCAACCACAGGCGCAATATACAGGGGTCAACTCCTAAAGTTAAAGATTCGTTTTATTAATATTAAGCTTAATTGTTCCCCCCTCATGCTATTTATGACTCAATTTATGGGCCTCAAATGAATAGGCAACATGAGCTGCGAGAACGTGTAGCACCAGTCAGAGCTGGGGAACTTGTAAGAACCTGCCAGTGAACAAATGATGGGAGCCGGTGTCCTTGCATATATTCAGAACAGTGGAAATGAGAAGGACAGATGCCACATCAACCTCCCCAATGTGAGTAGCGGTGTTGGACTCCGCTGCCGTTACAGCCTCCCCCTCTGGTGCATTTTACTCCTCCCACCAAACCCTGGTGGGTGAAGAAAAACACATCAGTGGGCATGGCTGGAGCGGCAGCTGAGGTCAACATCGCTACTCACATTGGGGAGGCCGATGCATTGTCCGTCCTTCTCATTTCCAACATGAGGTAGGAGCCAGCACCTATGAGATAAACGGCACCTACAACCAGTGGGCCATACAGTACTGAGCATGGATGGCCTTTTTTCTCCGTAGCCTCAATGAGGAAGTCTTTCAGTGTCTGCAGTGAGTTGGTTTTTCCAATAGCGTATAAAGAAAAATTTACCCGCAGGCATACTACGGTGCAGGCTGCCAGCTTTGAAGAGAACAAGATAGTCACTGGCCTATGGCTCCTGCTTCAACATAGCCTACTGATCTACAAAGTATGCATTTTTAATTAGTTTTCACCTAACCCAGAAACAAGAATAGATCAAACTTTATCGACACTCCTACCTTAGGTTCACCATCTTTGACATCTAGCAACAGGTCATCTTTAATTTTCTTGGTGCAGTGCTCACATGTGCAGTCAAAATAGTACTGTTTCTTCAGCTGTTGTTTTCTATCTTCACTGAGGTTAAGGAAATCTACGTAAGACACGCTGAGTTCTTCTCCCTTGTTGATCTTTCCAAGAGCGCGAAGCTCAATTCTGTAATTACCAAGCATGGGAGATCAGACAAAATGCCTGTAGGAGTCTCTGGGATGAGTTCAAGAGTGGGCTAATCAAACCTTGGCATTCCAGCTAGGGGCACCATGCAAGATTGTGACTGCCAGAGTGCTAAAGGTTGTCAATCCCATTACCAATGTCTTTTGAGTTACTTGAGGATCTGTACCATTTGAAAAATCTTACTCATCAATATTACTGTTTATGCAAGTAAACACTTTTTTTATAATTATTTTGCCAAATATTTTAAGAGGTACCTTCTGTAGACTCCTATAATGAGAGTTGGACTACAGATACAGTTTAAGAACATACCACTTTACTTTTCTCACTTCCTACAATAAATAAATTAAAGCTGAACTATATATATATATATATATATATATATATATATATATATATATATATCTGTAACACCCTCTAGTGTAGCATATGTTTTATTTTGTATAGTTGGAGGCTTGCTAGAAGCCTAGGTGTGAGTCAGCCTGGGTGTGATTCAGCGTGGATACTTCAGCTTAAGGCTGGAGGGCTTTCCAAGTCAGTTCTCTGATAACCCCCCCCCCCCCACTCTAGAAACTTGGAGAAGTTTCTAGAAGCCAGTGGGCGGGGATGAGGAGGGGCTGCTCTGCCTACTTAGGGGAATCTGGGCAATCCCTAGACAGGGGACCTGGCAAGGTAGCTAGTTCAGCCTTTAAATATGAGAGAGCCTGGTCAGCAGAGGAGTCGGGTGGAAGATGGATTGCTGAGAGGTGTTGCTGTGTAGCCTAGGAGGGAGACCCGGTGGGGGGTTCTGCCCTATTGTCCACCGGGGAAGGAGAGCCTGCAAATCTTGGAGAGGACCAGCCCAGCTGCAAGGCCTGACAGCAGTTCTAGCCACAGCTGCAGGCCAAGGACAGTATGAGTAGCCTATACATCCCCAGGGCCTAGAAGGGAGAAGTCTGCTGGATGCAAGTTCTGGCAAGTCTTCGGGGGACAGTTCATAGCTTACACAATTCCTTGTCCTGGGATCAGATACTGCAGCCAGTTGGGCTGGTATTTGTGGACTAAGGGGACCAAGAGCCCCTACAAGTTGTCACGTTGCTAAAAATCCACTCAGGGGATACCAAGCTCCTAGATGGGGATTATTCTACTATGTACTGTGATGGTTCCAGCTGGAACACAAGCAAGTGTTTGTCATTTTTTTTTTTAAGTGTGCTAGAGCAAGAAGCATCCTCATTTTGCTGTTTCTTCAATGAAATTGGGCATCCCATAACCCATTTACGCTATCAAAGTTGTTAACTCCTAATAAAACGAAAAACCCAAGCCCATGGATTGTTTACTGACTGTGGATGAAAGTGTGGAAAATGTATGTTGCCTGGCTGTGCAAGGCTTAGGGGGACCCTAAGAGGGTAGCACTACACATCTAAAATACCATAGAATGCATCTTGAATAGTGTTTTTTTTTCCCAAAAAATGTCATTCCCAAATCAATCCCTTATCTTTTACTAACTCCATTTTCTGCTAAAATATGCCAAGCTGTCTGGATGATGTCTGAGTGGTAATAAGGGCACTCCAGGGAAGGAATTCAGAAAATAAGTTTTCCCACTCAGTGCATGCACTGTAAATGTAATGTTGCTTTGGAAAAGAGATGGGGCCATGGCAGTGGTTGTACTGTTCTAAGTCAGAGGGCTTCTGCACTCAGTGGTTGCAGACATTCCCCTGCTGTCCTTGCACTGTCAATAGGGAAGACTTCAAGTAATCTCATCTACAATACCTTGGAATTTACAGATAACAGAGAATATTCACAACCTTACTGCACATCAGAAATAAAAATAGAACATTACTGAAGTGACTACAGATCAGTTTTAACCCTTTCCTGCCTGCAATCTGTATAATAACATTGTCCAGTATGATGCCCCTTGCTGAGGTATACATTAATAAATATCCACCCTTTAAGAGCCACCAACTGACACTTTGCACAATGGGTAGCGCTCAATCTTAGCTGGCAATGAGAGCTCTGGTCCCCATTGATTATTGGGATCCAATCTGAGCGTTTCTGGATTTCAGTTATAGTATAGTGATCATATGCTGGCTGGAGGCTTCATTGATCATCTCTTCATTGATCAAGTCTTTAGCAGATAGCACTTGCAGCCTAAAAGGTGGCTTTGTGACTCTGGTGATATTCTAATTGTGGGTTACAATTACAATACTAAAAAATAATTGAATAAAAAAAAAAATGGAAAAAAAAATGTATTTTTTACATGCTTGTACCTACAATAAGGAAGATCAGTTTTGTTTAGTACACCGTTTAAATAAAACAAAATAAAGGTCTCACATAGTTGAGATGTCCTACAATGCACACACAAGTCTGATTGGTACCCCTTTAATAGTTTCGGCAAATAAATTCTATTAAAAGGTTTTATAACTTTCTGAAACTGATTGATGAAATAACATACTTCAAAAAGGAACAGATCCATTTTAAAGGGCCAGTCAAACCCAAACTGATATATCAGCTGTTAGTAGGTGCCAGCTGGTTAAATTACCACCCACTTCCAATTTCTCTCAGGTACATGGACATTGATATCTCTGTTTCCAGGACTAGACACCTACCACAGTTATTGCAAGGGTGTTTCACTTTCACAGAAGGATCAATGAAATAGTTTACAATATGCAGAATGCAACATGAAGAGTAAAACTCAATGATGAAGGGAGCATTGCCAATAAAGCTGAAGTTTCTGATATATGTTTAGGACAGTGATGGGTCATACAGCCGAACACCATCTACTCATAATTGAAATAAAAGGATTGAGTTTACAGATCTTTTATGGGTCAGTCCACCTAAAAGATACAATATCATATTGGTGTCCAGGAGGTTGAGTCATCTGGATGTTTTCTATGCTAGATCTCTTGGTGACTTTAGTGAACAGTCTCCCTGCTGTAGTTCCTACCTCTGTTCCTGCCTACCTTTTGTTTTTGGTACTCCTGCCCACCTTCAAGTGTTTCACTCCTCCTGTAGCATTATCAACAATAAAGAATTTTAATACTCATACAGTGATAGTAGGAAACCTTCATAATTGCTGCAGCAGGTGTGCAGACCTGGGATTTAAAGAGAGCACTCACATAATACATTTAATTGTCCAGCTTATACTAGAGCTGAGATATCAGTTTTGGGTTGAATGACCCTTTGAGTATTAGTTGTGAATCCTGCAAGCATGCATCAATGGGACAGTCTCTTTACCATCCCAGTCCATTGTCCGAACTCTCCATGTCATTCAAAAGATAGTATGCAAAAATAAATCAATCCTTTGTGCATTCGTATAGTTTTGCACCATTTACATTCCTTTTGATAACTTTCACATCGCAATGAAAAAAAACACAAATTCCCCCAAAATTCGGACAGGGTAGCTAAAACTATAGGATACATATGACAAACATGGCTTTTGCCGTTCCAACATGGCAATTAATATCTGCAAGGAAAAGATTAGCGAGTCAATTCTGTGAAGGTGTTAATCTAGATGTTTAGATGGATTACAGGTGTTACAGAAGTAATTTTCTTACTTAGAGTGTTAATATAATAAACTCTCTTTACACATTGTATTAGTATCTCTGCCATTTTTTGTATTTTTTAAATGAAAATCTTGAAAATTATTGCTGTGCCCCTTCTCAGTGACCACCAAGTTATCTGAATGATTTCTGAACAAAAAGTAAAGGTTGGAGTTTTGAGAAATATCTTTGATTCCTTATATCTTACAGATACCAATGGTGAGAGGTTTCTGATGGAGATACAGAATACTGGAAGTGAGCAGCACTAGGATGTGGATATTGTAAAGCTGGAGTCCCTAAGTGACATAAGTAGAGTTGGCTTTATTAAATAAGACTAATAAACTCCACAAAAAAAGAAAGTCTGCTCTCCCCATTTTCTTAGAGACCCTGTTGCCAGATCATTGCTTCAACAACAATCTTCCCATAAGATTATGTGCACATTTATTGCATTTTGTGCATGTTTATTTACCAGAAAAATCCATGCTTATGTAGACTTTCAAAAGCTCTGACTGCCGCTGGGGGCTGCCATCTTGGACTCAAACAACACTTTATAGCAGTATACATGGGGTACACATACACACAGGTTATGCACAAGGACATTTAGAGGTATAGGACAAAAATGAAGCTCCTAACTCCTGTCCTAGGTTGACAACACACAACATTTTTCTTTTGGTGTCAGCCCTGCCCAGTTGTTTGTTGATAAAATACTCAAAACACTCCTACTTTTCTCTGACACTCAATACTCCATAGTCAAGGACAAAAACTAGGAGGGCTAATTAGACTCTTTACAATAATACATAAAGCGTGCACAGAATAGCTTAATCTGACATGGACAGGTATTTTTTGAACTTATTAGATACCTTGCATAGCTATATGTAGGTAGCAATAAGATAAGTCCATAGTTAGAAATAACATACACTTTAACCAGTGCCTACTCTATTAAAAAAAGGTTGGGCTTTTCATGCAATTAAATCAAGTCAATCTGAGTATCATATCCTGTTAAGGTGGCCATTTTGTCCCTATACATAATTCTAGTTAATTAATTTTGTTCCTGACAAAAGAACAGTTTTTAGTGTTCAATGCAAATTTTTTTTCCATTCTCCCAATAAAAAATGGTCTTCAAAACTATTCTTACCCATGACACTTAGATCTTAGTCTATGGTGTGAACATATATCATTTCACTTATGCAAACTTCGTAAGTACGGATCATGCCTATTGAGCCACAAAACAGCTTCCTCCACCAGTTATGTTATTTCCACCACAGAATAGATATAACAGATGCAAAGAGACCGAAGACATGATTCTAGTCTAAGTTAGGCTTGGTAAATCAAGTTATTCATTTTAGTAAGTTTATTGGTGTTAGAATTGCTAATTAATTGGGTCAGGAGCAGATCACCAGGTGACTAAAGCTCATTTATATTTCAAAATTTGTATTGACAACAGTTCATGCTTTCAGCTGATATGATATCACTGTGCACCAAGGAGTCATTGAGATGGAAGGTGCAATGCATGGAAAAGGAGATTAGAACGGGATGGTCAGGCTTCAGAAAGAACAGTATTAATGGTGGTCCCAAACAATTATGGAGGAGGTGATAGGGATCTGGGGACTGGGACATGGGGTGGGTTACTGGATCCATGTGATGGGGAGTGAAGGGTGGACAATGATACTTGGACACCGACCCACCTCATCTGTGTATGAAACATTGATTTTACAGCCTCATGACTGAAAAACAAAACAAGAGTCTACAATGCATATTGGTACAAGAGCTTCAATCAAAAGGGTGGGATCATGGGATCACTAAGGCATTCATGATTATTATCAGAGGCTATGTATCAATTCAGCTTCTTCTTTATATGCTTTGGTGCAAAATATTTTCAGTTGTTGAAATGATTTTGGTTTGGATACTTTCTGCTTTCTAGCAATCAAAAGACCAAAAATTTGTATAATACATAATAATATAATCAATTGTCCTACTTCTTCATGCATGATACATAGCCCGTAATATGTTTGTTCAATTTAATCATTTTTCATTATAGTAACATAAACATGATAGAACATACATTTTTTTTCACACCACTAACATAACAATAGGACTTCAGTTTAAACATTACAAATGTTTCTCTTATTGTCAGGGTAAAGAAGCTTCGTGTCGCTGCACATTATGCGCCAACGCCAGGTACCCGTCAGCTGTGCCAGTGTGCATGCGGTTGCGCATGCCAGCGTGTACAGATGGCTATTTAAACCCCTGCTGCACTTACAATGGTGCCTTCTGGTCTACTACGTTCTTTGCTTGTATCTTGACTCCTGTTATCTACCTGATTTGAACGGACTACAATTGAACTCCGCCTGCACAGACCTGGCTCATCCATTGACTATCCGCTTGCCTGTTACTCTGTACTTGATCCACCCGATTGATCCTGACCCGGCTTGTCTGATGCTTCTACCTCTCCTGCCTGTGACCATCTCTGGCTGCCAGCTCCCACGGTTGTCCATACCTCCGCTATACCTTCCTGCTGCTGCACCTGCTCACCTGCATCCATAACTAACCTGCATCCTGGTCTTTCGGGTCATCACCTGCCAGCTGTCATCGAAAACAGTCAGGCACTCATGCCCCTCCTAGCTCGATATCGTCTGTCTACCCTATCAGGGGTCCCGAGCGGGAGTGGTAAGAAGACACCGTCTCTCCACGTCAGGCTCCCCAACCAGGTATGTTACACTTATATTTTTTATTTTATTCAAAGTACTATACATTATGACCAAAAGGAAACATGCACCTTTATAAGAGTCTGCATTGTAAAAAGGTAAGGTTCCATGTTATATTCCATATGAATTCAGAACTTTATAGCCAATTATAAAATAGAATACTAGCCATACACCTGTAGATTGTGGGCTGAAAAAGAGAAATTACTTGATTCCTCCATCCATGCTAAACAGTGTGGATGAAGGAATATCCCCTGCTGCATTCTGATAGCTGCTACTCCTCCTGAACAGTACCTGAGCATGACTGGATGCAGTCGTTCAACCAACAGGGCCGTTCTCAGCTGGAATTTAGGTAGAATTAGACAAGATTTGAGCCATGTATGGCTAGCCCAAGGCTGCCTGTAACAAGGTCAGTAATGGGACTTACATGGACCCTGTACATGAAGCTTTTTCTCCAGCCCATCATTCACTAGTCATAAGAAAAACACTGTCATATGATGACCACAATTGATCTGGCATGTAGCCATTGTGCAACCACGTCCTCTGTTCTGAGGTCCAATATTTATGTTTAAAGCTTAGTTTACACATGCATTAGCTAAAACTGAACCTTAGGCAAACAGGTAAATACACAGATAGCATACACATATAGACAACTGTTTTACCTGCCATCAAGCTGTCAGATTTACACAGCATCAACCCTCAACATAGCCAGGTGGATGACACCACTTTGGCTGTCATGGTTATAGACTGTAGAAGAAATACTATGGTGTCCTTCCTTCTCCAGCTTGCTGATTGGAGAGTAAAAGGAGCAGCAGAAGATTGATAAGGTCATTTCTGCTCCTTTAGCTCTCTCCTCCTATCAACAGTCAGTACATTTTCATGCAGCATGTCTGATTGGTTCCCAGTTTAGACCCCCTTCTTTCATCCATTCAATTTTATAGGGGATTACAAGAAGCTGATAGCCAGTCAAATTCAGTTACCTACACTAGTTGGATTTGAAAAAAAAATAAATTTGGGGTCTATTTATCAATGTTTTCACCAAAGATTCAGACATTTTTCCAGCTGGATCTTGTGAAAAATGTGTTGATCTTGGGAAACAATTGTTTGAATCTTGGTTGAAGACACTGATAATCAGACCTCCTTAATGATCTATTAAGGAATATATAGTTGCATTAAGGTGGGCCTTAAATAATGTACCTATCTGGACTTCAGCTTTTATAATTTGGGGTTTATTTACTAAAACTGAAGATTGCAAAATCTGGTGCAGTTGTGCATGGGAGCCAATCAGCTTCAGCTTGTTCAGTTAAGCTTCGACAAAAAAAAAAAACCTGGAAGTTGATTGGTTTCTATGCAGAGCTGCATCAAATTTTGCACTCTCCAGTTTTAGTAAATCAACCCCTTTGCATAGTTTGATACCCTTTAGGGATCAAAATGAAATATTCCTGCTATAATGTTGACCAGGTTTAGACAGTAATTGGTCATCAATTCCATCACAAGACCATTAGCCATTCTATACAGTTCCTAGATGCTTCCCACTGATCAGCATTGTACTAAAATAAGAGGACCGCAGGAATAGAGGTCCACATGGCACATTGTTCAATGAAAAGTTGTGAGCTTTTTTTCTGCACAGGAAGGCTATTGACTATTTTTTTTTAAAACGGTGACCTGGGCATAAAGGGTTAACATATGGTCTCTGTAGTCCACATATCTCTTGGTGACTTAGAGCAAGATGTGGGGTCTAAACATTGAAATTAAGATTTTTGTTCAAAGAAAGTGTAGGATTTTCTCTTTAATCACACACCACGGGGTTGCCACCTGAACCCTTTAAAACTGAACCCATTAATTACACAGGTTCTGATGTTCATTTAATGCAGATAAGGCACCAAGGGAGTTTAATTCCCACTTAATGAGCCACAGAACCTGTGGAATTAAAGCCGAGGTCTAGTCAAAATGAAAAAAAAGTTAAATTTACAAAATAGACACTTGCCTGTCCTTCGATTCTGCGGTGCCCTCACAACGGCCGTCCTGTGTGCCCGGTGCCGGCATCTTCCGTGTGGGCACCAGATTGTGACAGCTTGTGGCTTCACAGCCGGGTGCTCACTGCGCATGTGCGAGAAGCGCTGCGCTTTGTGAATGGTTCAGTAGTCTTCTGGGACCTGTCATGTGTCCCAGAAGACTACGGGGAGGGTGGACAACTTCTGCTTTAGGCGATTGCAGGAGAATGGGAGCGGGTACCTGTCAAATTTGGGTACCCCCTCTGCTCCCCAAATTTTGCCAATCCCTAACAGGGAGGGGGGGGGACGACATCTTAAAGCAGAATTTTCCTTTTGGGTGGAGCTCCACTTTGATATGTGTTCAGTTTTAACCACTTTCCCGCCGCCCTATAGAAGAAATACTGCTACAGGGCGGAAGGGTTGCGCAAAATCATATATATGTGTGTATGTATATGATTTTGCATTTCCGAGTAGGGGGCGCGCGCACCCTACCCGTGCCGCCATTGGTGCCCTCACCTGTTGATCACCGGGTCCGGAACCCCACCAGCACCCGCCAATCGCCATGTATCACCGATGGGGGAGAGACCTGTATGTAAACAATACAGATCTCTCCCTGGTCAACTCCTGCACATTGCTTTGTTTGGCTCTGCATAGCAGAGCCATACAAAGCAGTGTGCTTACAGTGTAAAAGCACACACACAGCAAAACAGCACACAGTTAACCCTTTGATCGCCCCACGTTAACCCTTTCCTGCTCAGTGTTATTAGTATGAAGTCAGTGCTTTAAGCACTTTTCACTGTATTGGTGTCAGTGGGGATGTTAGTGACAGTTAGTTCCCCCCAATGTCAGAATGCCCGTTGCAGTTCCGTTATAAGTTGCTGATCGCTGCCATCACTAGTATAAAAAAAAAAAAATTCCAGTACATATACCGTCAGTACAGATACTGTCACGTAAACCAATTCATTTACATGTATTGGGATTTTTTTTTTTTTAGCAAAGACATGGAGCAGAATACATTTTGGCTTAAATTTATGACAAAATTTGATTTTTTCAATTTTTTACTGAACATGAATATCAAAAAAGTCAACAATATTGGTTTTTTTCTCAAAATTGTATTTATTTTTTTTTCATAGCACAAAAAAGTTAAAAAAACTCACAGATGATCAAATACCACCAAAAGAAAGCTCTATTTGTGGGGGAAAAAAGGACATACATTTAATTTGGGTGCAGCGTTGCATGACCGCGCAATTGTCAGTTAAAGTAAAGCAGTGTCGTATAGCAAAAAATGACCTGGTCGGGGGGGGGGGGGGGGGGATCCTATGGAGGGCAAGTGGTTAAAGGGGTGAGGTGGCAACCCTATCACCACAACACATGGTATTGCAGTACCGTGTGTTTTGGTGCACTAAACCACAGGTAAGTTGCCTTAGTGCATTAGAGTGCCATTGAAAAGTTGCAGAGCCGCAACATAGTACCACATGCACTGTCTGGTAACACAGAGCATTGTATAGGTGTAATTGGGCTGGGAGTTGTGTCTTATGACAGCTCCAAATTCATCACAGGCATTCAGAGAGCATTTTAAAAGCAGTCTACACGTACACCTGTATCACATGGCATCTGCCATTACAGATATGTGGGAACTGTACATGTTGCTGCCAGCTTCTCTCAGCTAGTAATCCAAATCAGCTGTTCCTGGAACTAAGGGTAAGACTGGACGGCACTACCGCAATGAATGAAATGACATTTAAATGTCAGACATTAAGAACACATAGGACCCTGCTTGTAAATGGCTTCATCACAGCATGCTAAACTAACTTGCTATTAAAGACCGATATTAATATATCACAACTCCGAGTAAACGACTGCCAAAAGAACCGGCCCAATTTGAGGTTCTATGTTATTACACAACATGACTGAGATTAACCTCACTGACATTACCTCAAATCCTACTTTCCTAGCATCAATAGGGTGTAATATTAACATTTCAGTTCTCACATCTACAACCCCTATGAACCAGAACATTTGTTTTAC